ATGTGAGTTTAAACAGAGGAAATTCGGACTGCAATTTTTGGGAAATTAGATTTTGAAAATACACTACTTTTATATAGGATTTAGATCCTTTTGTCCCATATTCTAATACATTGTACATTAAATGGTTAAAAGTTCCTTGAATAGATATTTAATGGGAATTTATTGTTCGTTTTTTCTGCCATCATTCAGAATAAAAAAGTAATGTTTAAAGGAAAATATCAAATCGGGGTGATAATTATCTTAATTATTAAAGACCCATTCATAATTTTCTTTATATGCATGATTTTTAGTTTTATTTCAAGATAGTTATATATTTAAAATCAAATTAAATAATTTTTTTGTTTGATTTTTTTATACATCAACACAGATAAATGTGCTCTAGGAATCAGTTTTCTCAGATTACCATATCTTTTTTTCGATTCATGTACACACCAATTTTTTTCCTCTGTTACATAGCTATATATCACTTCTTTAAAATGAAGTTGAAAAATAAAATATTCAATTATACCCAGTGTGATTTTATAACTTTTTGTAGTCAAGGGCAAGGAAATATAGTCAAATTTAAAGAGGGCAGAGGAAATTCAGACTGTGATAGTGAGCTATATAAATATGATTGCTATGAAAAAAAGCTTAGATCACTAAAGTTGTCCACAGACCTTTTAAATATTTGCAAAAACTACTTCTACTTATATTTTGTTTCCATTTTATAGCCTTTTTTACAGATAATTGTGTATCAGAACCAATTTTTTTAAAAGTGGTCAGAGAAAATTTGGATTACCATATCTTTTTTTTCCGACTCATGTACATACCAGTTTTTTCCTCCATTACTTAGTTGTATAACACTACTTTTAAATGGAATTTAGAAATTAAGTTTTTAATTATAGCCAATGTGATTTTATATCCTTTTTTATAGTCAGGGTCAAGGAAAAATAGTCAAATTTTGAGAGTGCAGAGGAAATTCAGACTGTGATTGTGAGCTATATAAATATGATAGCTATGAAAAAAAGCTTACATCAATAAAGGTGTCCATAGACCTTTTATATATTTGCAAATAACTACTTCTTCTTATGTTTTGTTTCCATTTTATTGCCTTTATTACAGATAATCGTGCATCAGAAGTAATTTTTTAAAAGAGGTCAGAGAAAATTCAGATTACCATATCTTTACATACCAATTTTTTTTCTCTGTTACATAGCTCTATAACACTACTATAAAATGGAATTTAGAAATTAAGTTTTTAATTATAGCCAGTGTGATTTTATATCCTTTTTTGAAGTCAAGGTCAAGAAAAAATAGTCAATTTTTAAGAGGACAGAGGGAATTCAGACTGTGATTGTCTGCTCTCTGAATATGACACCTATAAAAAAAGCTTAACTACATTATGCACATTAATAAATCTTTAAGATAACTGCAAAAAACTAAAATTCTAATAATAATTTTTGAGATTTTCTTTAACTTTAATTAATTACAGTAGACTTTTCTTCATAGCTTTAATCTTTTTAAACAAGGGAAAGTTCAGAGGTTGTTATCATGGAAACCAACTCATGTACATATATCAGAATTGTTGTTATTTGAACAAGGGACTTGTCCTCTATGCAACGGTACCTATATTTTAACTTTCCAATTACTTTTATTTCAGGTTTACATATCCAAAACAACTTTTAAGTGTATTAAAAGTAGAATCAAAATTTTATTAATTTATTTTAAAATTTAACAATCCGGAAGACAAGCCCCTATGATTTCGTACAGTCAATTTGAATTTCTTGCATTGATGGTACGCCTGACGGAATTACCATGAGTATTAGATTTTGCATTGCCTTAGTGAAGAAAAATGCACAATAGGTTTCTGTGCAGTTTGTTGTGTATTCTTCCACTATAGAACGTCTAAGCCGCGTCGGAGATGAATATGGGGGGTTTCCAATCAGTGAAGTAAGCGCGTAACAACGCCACATTAAAGATGGTGTAACATGCAACGCGGCCGAGCTGGTGTGGGGTGATATGTCTTGTATCTCCGAGGCTTTACACTTAGGTTCGTTAACCTGTTAACTCGGACTTTTGTTGACCAAAAACTATTCACAATTACAAACGGTTGCAAAGGAATTCTTCTTGATTGGACAACCAATAACTGTGGTAAACGGGTATCTCCTGCAAACAAATTTCTTCGGTCCTGCCCTCCATAGGTAATTAAATCACCTTGCAATGACCCCGCCTTTGTGGTATGCCACCTCTCTCCCAAAACCAAGTGAATGCCTAATTCAGGTCTTACGCGTTTGCTTATCACTAAACACTTAACTGTTTATCCCCCGCAACTGTTTGCCTTTTCAGGTCTTAAAACAGTATGAAGGAGAATAAACGAGCCAAGGTATATTACCTCCGTCACCAGAAAGGTATCAAGAGCACTATAATACAGCATGTATTAGCCTATTGGAGTCTCAGTACCTCGGCAGTTTCGACCTACTTAAATGATCGTAGAGTTAATATCTAGTGTTGAGGAAACGAAATAAAAATGTATGTCCAACGTTTTATACGAAACTAAACGACAAAAACCATTTCCGTTTCAATTGGACTATTCCTCCTGTAACCTGTGTAATCGCCATATAACTACTGTTGAAATCGTTAATAATACAGTAGGCATCCATAATCGTTACATTCACCTAAAAAATAAATTAAACCGATTGTTAGAATTTGCTTCATGAGCTCGTCAACTTTATGTCGGTGTTCCTTTCACTCGTGTTGAATAATATCTCTGTTGAAAAATAAATGCACCGATGAACTCCATGCAGAGAGGAATCAAATCTGCGACAGTTGCACAAGGGAGAAATAAAAGATAATGGGAATTTTTTTTTTAATTTTCACTTTTGCAGGATTCCGTCTTTTGAGTTTTCATCAACTCAGGAATTTTCAGTCAAAATCAGAATAGATTTTGATTACTTAAAAATTAAAGATATAAAGCTCTGTTTAACTTGTAGAAAGTTTAAATATACAATTTAACACGTTGACTAAAATTATTTTTTTTTTAACTTTAATACACCTCAATCAGCAATTCTAATCATTTTACATTACTTTTTTTCCCGAAGGATTCCATTAAAAACTAAATTTTATTCCTTTTGCACATCATTTCATATACATACTGCTGAATGTGACGTATAAGTGGAGTAGCCTGTACTGTGCAGTGTAAGAAACGAACTGCACTAATAGCAGCAGAAGTTGCGTTCATGGTGCTATGAACGCAACTGGTGAGTGCAGGTTCGTAGTGGGAGAAAACAGAGAGTATGCAAATATATAGCGATGGGCGTGTCCGTTCGTACGCTCTCATTCCATCCGGTACACTTTGGGTAGCCATCTCTTATCAGTAACTTCTCTTTCAACACTGAATGCAATGAAATGAAACTTTCAAAAATTATTTTATGTAGTGGCATTGTGCATTTCCTATCGTACGTTTCAGACGGAAACGTATCGTACGTTTCAGACGGAAACGTATTTGGGGTTTATCATAGCAAAACATTGACTTTGTCATTGTTTAATTAAAATTCGGAGGAACCAATCTTGTATCCGAATCTCCTCTCGTACCACTAAATAAAATTTAACGAGACTTTCACAAAATCTCATCCTGTATTACTAAAAAAAATTAATGAGACTTTCACGGAATCTTAATATTTTGAGTTTCTTTTATTAAAACATAGACTTTTCCATTGTACTCAATAAAGGGAGTACCTATTTTGTTAACGCATCGACTCCTAAACATTCATTTTGTGGCTCAGTGATCACAGTTCCTTTCATCTCCCCCCCCCCCTTTTTGGCATGTCAAATATTTTTGTGCCCTCCTCTCTCCCTGCACACACAAATACTTTGAAAATCTTTGCTACGAATTTGAGAGAGAATCTGAAAAAAGCAAGTGTTCAAAATGTGGTTAGCCAACAGAGTTTCGAGTAAATTTTCCTTCGTTTCCTGTTAATTTGGCCTTCTTTTGTGCCAATCCTGGGACTCGCGCAGCTTTTCCTGACACCCGCAATTCGCATGATACGTGTTACTATAAGGCAGAACGGAAAGCGGAACGGAATAGAAATCAGAAGATACCGAATGGATACCGAAATAATTCAGAAAAAATAAGACACAGCATTTATATATAAAATATCGCTGTGGTATAAATATGTACGAGTGGAATTCAATATTAAAGGCCACTTAGCAACCAGAAACTTGCTACAGTACTCACAGTAGCTGCTATCATTTTTGACTTTCTCCATGTACCACTTATGTATTACACCAATAACTCATCAATGTTTTTTCTTTGATGGATATGTTTTATTTTTATTTAAATCAGACTTAGACATGTGAGATGAGACATTCATATAGATATTTGTGATGCGATTCCAATTTTATAGACCATCGCATGTATATGCGACAGGAAAAAAAATCATGAATAAACCATTTTGTAAAAATCTTTAGTTATATATGAACTATTAGATATTAAATACTGGTTCCTGTCTTATTTATATCTGTACTACGTAAACAAGCATTCTGAAAGTATTGTATTAGCAATACTAGTAATCTGGTTCCCATTAAAAATTGAAAATGCCGTAATTTAGTCAAAAATCATTGAAGCGGAACATAATACAAGCTTGACTCATCAAGGTAGATTCACATACCAAAATCAGCTCAATATCTGCAAGCGTTTAGAAAAAAGCGCGGAAAAAGAAGTGAGACAGACTGACAGACAGACAGAGGGACATACAGTGTTACAAACAGACAGACAGACGAGAAGGTTTCACCGGTAGGGGACTAATAACTTGGTGTAAGATTTTCTGTTCCGCATTATAGCAACACTTACATGTATTGCATGAATGGGTGTAGTATAACCTTTCAGATTCTGTAACTTTTTTTGCAGTATGTTATGGGATAATGGGGATATTAGCTTTGAAACTTAAGAGCCCCTTGAACATAAGAAATATCTTCGGTATGTTGGTACTTATTGAAAAAAATGCTAAAAAGTCACTACTTACATGATATGTCAGATTCTGAAAGCAAAACAAGAAGAGATGTATCAGTAAGAATTCTTAGAAATTCAATGACAGTCTATATGCAGGAATCCTACATATACGTATTTTTAATTAATTAAACTTTCAAAAGTAAAATACAATAAATTTTTAAACACTTTGAAAGTAAAAGCATTTTATGATGAAATCTTTGAAATATAAAAAAAAATTCAAAATGATAATTAAATGAGTAAATTTGGATTGGAAACTGATGGCCAGTTGAGCATAACTTATCATGATTTCAAGAATGTTAGACTTTTGCCAATCAGAGAGCTAGAAATTATTCAATGATATATTAAAAAGATTATTTTAGAATGACTGCTAGTTAGAGATTTCGTTTTTAATTTAATTTTAAAATCATTAAACAGCTCTTGGTGTAGAATTTTATTACTTTTTATAAGTTTAAATTATACCGCTCAAAAATACAACCGTAGCAACGGAAGTGAGGGGATCTAGAAACTGAAACATAGGCCTAGCAGCCATGTTGTTATTTACATGTGGAAAGATCGAGTTATTGTTTGAAGTTTTAAGGTACAGTTATTAAATGTGGAATTTTCTACGAATCACGGGGACTGGAAATGAGAGGATTGCATGGATACACATGACTCAGCTGGTAGTCAGGGGTGTGTGTCCCCATACCAAACCAGGTTATACAGATTTAACGGTGTTCTTTTTTGGATATTAACCAATCGGAGGCTAGAATACAAACAGAATTAAATTATATAAATTTAAGTTCAATATACTAAAGTTTGACAACATTTTTATTAGAAATAAAATATTAACTATCCCCAAATCAAATACATTATAACTAATGTACGTGCGTTTTTGAATCTTACTATCACACTATCCTGATAAAATAAAGGTAAACTCCACCATTATTCCCCAAAGAGAGCCTCCTAATTCCTCTGCATAATTACAGGTTTTCGGCGAGTAGTCTTTTTAGGGAACACACCAAACTCACACAAAACATACTTGCCGTATTAATGATACTTTTTAAGTAACTGTTATTTGATACTCAAAAACTTTAAGTCTGGATTTAAGAAGACTTGACTAACTGAATGATGTAACTAAAAAAATTATCCCTTCTATGGAGTTTACACAAAATACAACGGAGATAATTATATACTTAACGATACGACTTAGTAGAAAGATTAACTTTTTTGAACTCAACTTCTGATCTAACAGTTCTTATTAAGTTGCATCAGTTGGCTCCGGTCCAAAAAAAATTAAATCAGACAATTTTGATCTCAGTCTCACTCTCCACGTTTAATTCCTTTGGTAAATGTGGGACTGATATGAAAAGCATGAAAGGTCTTGAGGAAGGGGTCGGAGGGGAGGGGGGGTCCCGGTCTTTGCAGTTATTAAAAGTATATATATATATATATATATATATATATATATATATATATATATATATATATATATATATATATTGCTTGTCAAGAATTTTTTTTGACTGGAGTGGATTCCCCTGGAATAAATTCCTGGCTTCGCGCATGGAGAGTGAGCATTTTTTTAGCCTTATAACTCCGGAGCTAGATCCTTAACTTATCAGTCCTTAACAGAACTCAATATCTTTCAAAAAGGCTGTTACACAGAATTTGTTTTTATCATGATATTACAGCAAAAACTAGAATCAAGGTCATTGCACCCTTTACTCATGAAGTAGTCGCCAATGTGGAGCAGTGGTTAGAACGTTTACTCTAGAGTCGCGGAATGAGGAGTTGATCCTTACGTCGCTGGTTTGGATCCTAATGCGGGATGTGGAGACGGGTGCTTCGGATGAGACCGTATAAACCGAGGTCCCGTGTCGCAATAGGTGCTGGCACGACAAAGATCCCTTACTGCTCATTGGCCCGAAGTGCCGACTTATAGGTATAAATTTGAAGCCCTCCACCGGCAAGTGGTGCCGTCTCCATATGAGTGAAAAATTCTCGAAAGGGACGTTAAACCACAAAATATAAACAAACTCCTGAAGTATCTATGGTTGACATATGATCCAAATTCGGAGATCGAAGGGGATAACATGAACTTCGGACAAGTTATACTGGAGGAACATACTGATCATTACAGCTCGCATGATAAAAAAAAGTGCTCAATTAAGGTTAGTAAAAAAAAAATCAAAGTAATTTTACTCACCAAAACAGTATGCTGAGTTGCACAGATCCAATGGTGTCAATTCATATACATAGAAATTCCCACAACTCTTAACTCTTATGGTGCGGTCCTTTGAACAGACACTACTAAAACCAACCTGGCAGACTTTCACATTTTTTATTTGTCCTGAGTCTGGTAGTGAATCTATTGAACAGGAAAAGACAACGAAGTAGATATAATTTGGGCTTTATTGTGCATTAAAAAATTAATGTTTTCAAAAAGTTATGAAATTGGCATAAATAAGAGCTGAGTATATGAATGTGATAAATCATAAAAGATTAAAGAAAAAATGAGCAAGCTCACAAACCCCACGCCCCCCCCCCCCCCCAAATTTTACAATGCAACACATAATCAATGGTATGGTGCACTTTAAATACACAGTATAATTCTAAAAGGGGCATTTTACTTGCATTTTACTTGCAAAAAATCATCACATCAAAACTTCTTGCAAATAAGGACATTCAAATCTTTGTCTGCTACAAATTTAATTGGGCTGAAGTTTCTAGATAAATAATGTTATCAACATTTCTTGGTAATATATAAATCACACATTATATCTGAAATACCCAACAAGTTTCGGGAAATTCAGTGCAGGAGCTATGCTAAAAAACTGTTATTTAAATTCCTCAGTGATTTTGATTTGTTAATGAGTGTAAGTCCATGTCCAACGTATGACAATTTTCAAATTTAAATAACTGATGTAGTCATATTTATTTAAATACTGTACTTATGAAATTATTGAAGGCAAGACACTAATTCGAGATGTGGGGGGGGGGGGTGAGAAATTTTGTGTACTTCTATCTAAGATTCTGTGTGGGTGTATGTTGAATCATTAGTATTTTGATCTTAAAATCAATAGGGGTTTTTTAAGGTCATAAAATATTTCACAAAAAAATTCATTACAAAAGCTAATTCCAATGGATTTCCTTATAACTTAGCTGGAAAGTTTCTTCAATAATATCCAAAACTCTAAGGGAAAAATAATGGAATTGGAATTTCCTGGCAATATGCACATCTATACACTGTGTCCTAAATATCTGCAAAGTATGGCGAAATTCTGTGCAGCGGTTTAGGAGGAGTTGTGCGGACAAACTGTTCCTCTCTATTCAAGATTTGGCTAAAAATCTAAGTTGAAAAGTACCGATATTCCAAGAAAAATAACGGAGTCGGAAATTCCTGGGAATATGCATAACTACACACTGTGTCTTAAATATCTGCAAAGTTTGACGAAATTCTGTGAAGCGGTTTAGGAGGAGTTGCGCTGACAAACTGTTCCTCCCTATATTCAAGATATGGCCAAACATCCAAGCTGAAAAGTGCCGAAATTCCAAGAAAAATAAAGGAATCGGAATTTCCTGGGAATATGCATAACTACACACTGTGTCCTAAATATCTGCAAAGTTTGACGAAATTCTGTGTAGCGGTTTAAGAGGAGTTGCGCTGACAAGAAAACAGGACTGACTGACTGACTGACTGACGGGTCAGAAACATTATACCTCACGCAACTTGTTGCGTGGGGTATAAATATGGCGTCGCCCGCGTGGCGCAGTGGTTAGAGCGTCTGCTCTAGAGTCGCGGAGTAAGGAGTTGATCCTTACGTCGCTGGTTCGAATCCCACTGTGGGACGTGGAGAGCGGATGAAACCGTATAAACCGAGGTCCCGTGTCGCAGTAGGTGCTGGCACGAAAACGATCCCTCATTGCTTGATGGCCCTGAGTGCCGAGTATAGGTCAAAATTTGCAGCTCTCCACCGGCAAGTGGTGGCGTCTCCATATGAGTGAAAAATTTGAGAGTGACGTTACACAATAAACAAACAAAAACAATATAAATATGGCAAGAAGGAGGACCATTCTGGAAATATGACGTCATTAATTAGGCATATTTAAGTACCAGTCCGTGTAAAAATCATGCAAAAGTGATATTTAAGTGATTCACTCAGGTTCTCAGAATTCAATGATTTTCCACACATAGATTTCTCTTGCACTATGATCCATGTATGCAAAATGAAAAATGTTTTGGATCATGGTTACTATGGAAACCTGGTCAAAGTAATTTCCTTAGCAACCAGCCAATTTTTCCATGTGAGGGGGCAAAAAATCACTTATCTTTAAGGCCTGAAATTATATACAAAAACTTTGACAATTATTCTTATTTACTGGTATGATAAAGACACACACTTTAGGTGTTTAAACAACACAAGAAATTGATATTTTGTTTAAAGCTAGTACTGTGGTAGACATTAGAATATATACATGTTTTTGCATTTTTGCTGACTCAGCATTTTCATTGATTTTGACAATATTCAAGGTCAATTCAAAATTAATACCAAGCTAATACAGCTGTTGCATGACTTTCACGTTAAAGTAGAGGACTTTCTCTTTTAGAGATTGACTTCGAAAGCGCGGGTTTTTTTTAAAATCCTATCCGTTGCCTAGCAACAATATTGGATGTTTTGGAAAATAAAAAGCTAAAATTGGTAGTGTTGTAACAATTATCTTATAGAATAAATAATTTTTTTGTCCAAAAATCAAATTTTCAAGTAATAGGATATAACTATTATTTCTAAAGAAATGCATTGATAAGGAATAATTAATTATCTCCATGGCAACAGCAAATTTCCCATAGCAACAAGGCCGATATTCAGAATTGAAAAGAAAATGTAAGAAATTGTATAAATGACCTTGCGAAAAATAACATTTTTATGTATGAAAAATAAAGATCATTCTGCAAATAAAACATAATGAAAATTTTACTTTGGGTCTGCTAATTAAAAAGAACATGGGGAAGTTTTCCATATTGCTACATTTATCACAGAAGTGAGCAATGTTAACACTGTTGTTGTCTTGAAGAATACTGATTTCATCAAGAAAATGAGAAAGTATTTGAGGATTCAGTAGAATAATTAAAAGTATGAAATATATTCTTTATATTCTTTATTTTAAACATTTCTTGAATCATTCATATAACACCTGGTATTATTATCCCCCTTGGTAGAACTCTTTGGTAAAGGAAATACATTTTAGTGTATTCAGTAAACAATGGAAGCAGACAACACTCTCTGTTCAGATCAAACTTGTAGTTTTTCGAATTTTCACAGGCATATTTGTGGACCATCTATATATTATCCATCAGAAAGCAGCCTCAGCCCCATATCTAACTGTTTAAAAGATATTTCAAGTCATTTAAGGTCTTTAAATTTATGTAACTCTCACATTCCAACTGAAGGGCATTTACTATGTTTCCGAGTGGGCATATTTTCCTACAAGTCGGCAGAACATTTTTCTATATGTCCCAAGTTGCGTGCAGAGTTGGGAGTTATGTGGAAAAAAGGGCATACGTGTGCATACCCAGATCATATTGGCAAGGCGAAACCTGAGAGACCGATAACTCCCTTGATGTCACATTTCATACTGGCCCGCAAAGGGGTCATGGTGCCAGTTGGATCAGGTTAGTAATGTTATTTCACTTACTCACTATCAATCTTTATAGATCACAAGATGAATATGAATCATATCCTGTGCTTGAATTCTCCTGAGCTGAACAGGTATAAACTGTTTATGATACAGTTCAGTATTTTTTCACTTAATATCACATAATGCAGTGTAATGCAATCCTCATAAAAGAAAGTTCCATCTTTCATGTCATATGTTGCCATGGCCAAAAAATCCTATCTTGGTCTTTCACTAAATCTGAAATAATTAGAGGGTCTCTTCTGGCTATATGGTTTCAAAAATCCTGCTTATCTGTATTCAAAATAAATCCACATGATCCAAGGACTTCTTTAATTACTCAGCATTTTTAACACACTTTGAACTATATCACATTTTGTAAAAACAGAAATCTTGAGATGCTTATCCAGATCTGGTCTTTCTTTTTGCACCTTTTAATTTTTTTTACTTTTGCCGGACCTTAACAGCTGCTCAGTGTCCTGATATTAAAAGTGTAGGCTGTAGCATGTAGCTGACCAAGTTATCTAATCCACATTTTGAATTTCACATTTTCTTGCCTCGTCTGATTCTCTTTCTTTCACTGAAATAAAGTTAATGGTACAATGTCATTCGAGTTAATTCTAGACGTACAACATAACAACAATTTGACAATATATCAATATAAAAAACAACAGAGAAAATTCCACCACAGAGTTAAATACGCATTAACAAAAATAAGTAGAAATCTTGTTACTCTGTTATTCTAATGGAACTAGTTCAAAAATTTCATATAATGACCTTTTAAGCTACTGAAACATACCTAAGTGCCCAATATTTGGACAATTAATTCACCTTGCCATGCTTGCCGTGGCTTCCACCTTTCGAAATTTACTGTATATTGATTGGCTATTTAGTGTGGGGCGGCACCACGTTTCACTTCCAGAGTCTTGACGATTCGCCCCAGGAAAGAGTTTTCGCCCCAGGAAAGAGTTTTCGCCCCTTTGCGATTCACTTGTTTTGTTTCTAAATAAATGGTAAACACAAAACACTAATATACACGGCAAGAATACAATAAATAACCAAAAGATAGACATTTTTTTTCCATTGGATATATGGATTTGTTCTAAACAATATATTTATTTATCACTGCGGTACGATGTGTTGGGGGGTGGGGGGTCGGGGGTTTGGGCTAAATCAGGAACACACACACACATACATATATATATATATATATATATATATATATATATATATATATATATATATATATATATATATATATATATATATATATATATATATATATATATATTCCCAATAATTTATCCGTTATTGAAAAAATTTGTAATGAATCATTTTTTTAACTATTCAATTTAAAAATTCAATAAAAATTTATTTATTCACTTGATAATTTTTCTTTCCAAATAGTATTCCAGTGATGAAATGGAGGTGTGCGTGTTGAGGGAGAGGGGGGGGGGGGTAAATCATTAGAAAGATATGATTTTATTGTTAAATACATGAATTGTTTTCATTTTCATTTACTAGATGCTATGAAATATGAATATATATATATATATATATATATATATATATATATATATATATATATATATATATATATATATATATATATATATATATATATATAAAGTAATTTCTAAAGTTAAAATTTCTACGGGGAAAAAAATCCTTTTGAAGAATTATAAATGGTGTACTTGTGTTTATTGATGAATCACATTTGTGGATTGTAAAACACCTGTGAACTTCTTTCAAAAGTATCTTTGGATCTTATTTCAGGTATTTGTCGCAAATGTAGGGGAGTAATGTATGAGGAAATGAAAAATACCAATATGTTGAATAAAGATGTGAGTGATACCATATATCATTTTATGAAAAGAGGATGCCTCAGTATAATGTTTAATATGTAAATCCAGGGTTAACTGGCTGTAAGTCAGTAGAAGATGGCAACCCTCCTTATAAAAATCATTTTTATGCAATGGAAACCTCTGTGTAATAAAAATTACAGAGAATTGAAGAAAAAATGCAATAAATTATTCTGACTTCTTTTCTTTTAAAAATATATGATTATCTAATATATTGATTTCAAATAAATTACAAATGACTGAATTGTATTTATTTTATTTCAGTTTTGTGGTAATGAGGAAGACAGTTGTCCAGATTTCAATTCTGAAGTCAAATCTGACCCACTTTGTCTGGTAAAAGTTTTCAAAGTTTGACTGATTAATTTGCAAAAAAATAAATACCAAGTTTTTATCTTGTGGATGTATTTTATAAAAAAAAAATACACTTAGTAAGAGAATTAGAAATCTCTTATCTTAATTTATAAAATTATATACATCATGATACGTCATAAATATCATGATACATGCATTGTGAATTTCTTATTTTAATAAGTTAATGATGTTAGAATTTTTTCACATATCACAAGAGAGAATTTATCTCTTGTATTTTCTTGACCCAGATACTTGCATCAATTATAATTGATTTTTCCCACATGTTGTGGTTTGCTCATGAATCATATGATTTTGTATGTCTTTTGAAGAATCATCAGCAGTCTACGACATGCACTCTTCAATGTAATACAAACAGATGCAAAGAGCAATGTTCTTCAGACTCTGTTTCAAGAAAGGTATATTTTAAGGAATTCTGATTGATATTACAAAAAATGACATTGTACCATTAATGTTTACAGTATTTTTACATAAATAATCAAGAAACTCACAATTTTGATTTTTTTTTTTTTCATCTAAATTGCATATATACATTTGAATTCAAATGATTGATTATCTGTTTTAGGAAGAAGAACAGAGAGACCTGAAGGGACATTCAGAAGAAGAGTCTGTAAGTGCCTGCATATCAGTTTTAGCTCACCTGATGAAAGGGTGTTCCGTGTCTGTCTCTATTCTATCTTCTGTAAACTTTCCTGTCTTCTGTAAACTTTTCATATTTTTGACTTCTTCACTAGAACCACTGGGCCAATTTCAGCTAAACTTGTGACAAAAGCATCTTTGGGTGAACGGTAGTCAAGTTTTTTTTCACAAGAAGAGCCACACACTCTTTCAAGAGATGATAATTAAGAGTTCTTGAAAATTTTGTGACCCCAGGGGTAAGACAGGGCCACAACAGGGGATCAAAGTATTACAAAGGAATATATAGGAGAAAATGCTAAAATATTTTAAAAATATTTCTTAAAAACCACAAAGCCATGAATATAGCCATATTGATAAAGAAATATCCCCAGAAATTTTCAAATTATGTCCCCCTTGGAATAGGGTGGGGCCACAATGGATAATCAAAGTTTTAATTGGGATTACCTGGTACATTGGAAAAGTTTTGAAAAATCTTCTAATTCTCATGAACAGCAAAGCCATGATTAGTCATATAAATATGTATTCAAAGTTCTACAAAAGAATGTGTAGGAAAAAGAATCTGCTGATGAAGAACAGAGGGGCCATGCTTACTCAGGTTAGCATTGTGGCCCATGGGCCTCTAGTTAATAGAGCTGTCATGAAAGAAGGTAGATTTTGGTTACACTGAGTGTGTTTATTATAATTCCAGTGAATTTATGATATTAAATGAGATCAAATATTCAATTCATCAATAAGCTTAATTTGAAGTCACTTCTTGTTGCAACACCTTATTTATGACTCTTGTTACTCATAGATACACAGTTCTCAACCTTTATCACAAGTATCATCCTGGAGTGAAGAAAACATAGAAACATCACTTGATGATATAAATAAGACAATGGGTTCTCTTAGTCGAGGCAGTTTTAGTCCACTGAAATATCAAGTGCGAAGAAATTTAGATTCCTTAATGCCAAACACCCTTCGTACCTTGAAACGGAAAACAGGAGAAGCTATAAACCTAGTCTTAGAAGGTATATATAATCATCAATATAATGGCTTTCATAAAACCGAAATTCATTTTTTGCAGAATCAATCTTTATTCATTTCAAATGGGATAATAGGGTGTCCATTAAGTTTCTCTTTATAATAATGCTTTGAAGTTAACTGTTTAAGCTCTAACATAATTAGCATGTGTATACTTTCCTCCTTTAAGCACTAACCATCTGATATTAAAAAAAAAATCAATTATCAGATTACCAAGTATATGCTCATTGAAAATAATAATGTATATATAAATATATATATAAACTTCCTTTTTCTTAAGGTATAGCTCCAGGCCAGGGAAATAAACTCTTGAAACTGATCCAGGAGCCTTCAAATGCGGAAACAAATTGCGACTTAGAAAAGGTTGTGGTAAATCTTTACCTTGAAAGCAGTGATAAAGATATTAAGAAACAGCTCCTGTCTTTGATTTCTTTATCTCACACAAAGAAGGAACTACAGCAACTCATCCCACAACTCTCAATCTATGCCATTGATGAAGCACGCACATATGCTGCAGATCATAGTAAAGGTTTGTATTCTATTTCACATGCTTAACAAAATTCAAGTAAATGTGAATTTAGAATTAGCAGCTGTGCATGGATAAATTTAGGGCTTAGACAAATGAACATGAGATTCATCATTAAAATTATACAATCATACTATATGTACTACTACTTATTATACCCTCCGCAAACAAAGTTTGGGGGGTATATAGAAATCACCTTGTCCATCTGTCCGTCTGTGCATCTGTCTGTCTGTGCAAATGTGTCCGGTCCATATCTTTCTTACGTAGGAACATTAGAATCTACTACTACACACAAAGATTGTTCATGTCCTGAGAGTATGTCATGACCTTGACCAAGGTCATTTGGACAAGTTCAAGGACACTGACAGAAAAATTTCATTGTTAGTGTCTGGTCCATTTCTTTCATATGATTAAACTTGAATCTACTACTTCACACAAAGATTGTTCATGACCTGAGGATGCGTCTTGACCTTGATCCAAGGTCATTTGGGCAAGTTCAAGGTCACTGAAAGAAAAAGTTCATAATTCGTTTGTGGTCCATATCTTTCTTATGGATAAACTTGGTGAGTTCCCATTTTACACAAAGATTACTTATAAGCTGAGGGTGTGTCATGACCTTGACCCAAGGTCATTTGTGTAAGTATTAGTGTCTTGCTACCTTCTCTGCAAAACCCAGCAGGGGGTATTTGTCCATTTGGGACAGTTCTAGTTTGTCAATAAATTTATTGCAACCAAAACAGTTTTTACAAATTTCAATTTAAAATGTATTAAATGTATCATCATGTACTACATATAATAAAAAAAACTGTCATTTTTCTCTATAGTTTATCATTAATCATATATAGGAACACACAGTCACAAGAGGCCTGTTTTCCATCACAGAATGGATAAAGTGAAGCTAGATCATGCCTTAGATTTTTTCTTCAATCCTGCTTTTCACCAGGTATGGTAATAAAGAAAAGAAAAATGTTAATAATAGTAAATCAATACTATCTTATTATGTAATTGGGTACAACTTTATGCATTTTCCTGAATTTATTTGCACAAAAATACCATGTGCCAAATATATTTTCAGGTTTCATCTGTAGGCACAAAAGAAATAAAACTGGATGATGGGTCTTTAGTTACTATACCAGAGGTTGTCAGAACTGTTTGGAATTCAGCACTCGTTAAAATGTATTTGTCTTTCTGTGAGGAAACTGAGTTTGCCCCATTATCAAGATCAACTCTTTTCCATGTTTTAAGTGTCTGCCCAGCCTCAAAATGTACAAACCTAAAAGGTCTGGACAATGTTGCTGCGGAAGGAGGACATGCATATGAGATACTATTGTCGACAGTGGCAGGTATATTCTATCTGTAGTAAACATACTTATAGTACAATGTACATGTATTTGTTGACAATTGAAATGATCAATGACAAATGAAAATAGAGCTTAAATGAATACATCTTCTTATTCTGAGGTTATTTATTGAGAAATATAGCATTTCTAATTATACATCATGTAATGTTCTATTTGTCGGATTTTTACAGATATGGAAAAATATGCACCAAATGCCCTGTTGCATACTGAACTAAAAGAGCTTAAGGATTCTCTACTAGCTAGTAGGATGTACCTTAAAACAGAATTTAAAGCACATTTAAAGCAGGTATTATATACAAGTACTTATTCTTTTTGGTACATTATGAATTATGCTTAGTTGTCTCAGCATCAAACCAATACAAACACATCTGTCTGTATAATTAATTCACAGAGGAGAACATAAAATAGATTTCATGCTAATTGAAAAAAATTGTGATAAAATATGTATACCAATGTTAATGTTATGAAGTATTCATTATGATAACATGTTTTGTTGGAATGATTTATCTATATAATAAAATCCATGTCAGAATTAAAGAACCCATAAAACCTGATGCAACCAGCATTTTCTTCATTTATGGGAAAACCCAGTTACATAACTGACTCCTTTTTAAAGATTTAAATTATAGGCATAGAACTATACATATTAATTGTTTAATAGGACATATTGATTGCATTTTTTTTATTGATTGCATTTTTTTTATTTAAAAAAAGGATATTGTTATGACTTTCAAGATTATAATATTCTTTACTTTAACTTTACAGTTTGATTCTTGTGCTGACCACTGCATCAGTTTTGCACTCAGTGACCCAGGTGATGAGTGTCTGCAGCAGAATTGCCTTGATCACGACCATGATGTTCTTTGTGACAAATGCAGCTTGCTTCCTCAGACAGTCATAAAGTTGAAAGAAATTATGAAAAGATTTGGTAAGAATAAATAAATGTTTCTTTTATCCTCCACAAACTTTTGTTTGAAGAGGATATTTAGTGTTTTAAGCTGATATGAATTTATTGATGAATCTTCTCTTAAATACTTAGCATTCTACACTAAATTGGGACTGAATTTTTATGAGATGACAAACTTAATCTATAAAAAAAATTCCTGATTTCAACAAAATCATTAAAAGTTTGGGGTTGCTGATTTTTTTTTAATGCCCCTGTAATGGAAGATTAGAGAGCATATAGTTTCCATCCATCTGTAAATTGTCTGTGAAAACTTTAACCTTGCCCATAACATTTGATCGGTTGGACTAAAGCTTTTAAAATATACGGGTATATTCCTTATGATGATTTTCTTTTGGTACCAAGATATTTGACCTCTTGACCTTGCAGTTTGACCCACATTTGAAAAATCTAACCTTGACCATAACTTTTGAATAGTTAGTGCTAGGGCTTTTGTATTCAAATGTGCATTCCTTGTGACAAGCCATCCCTTGGATGCCAACAATTTTGACCCTTTGACCTTGGAGTTTGAAAAACTTTAACCTTGGCCATTACTTTTGAATGTTTGGTGCTAGAGCTTTTATATTTCACAATTTTTTTTGCAGTTCCATTTAAAAAAACTGGAGAACAAACAGTTATAAAAATATTAATAAAAACTTATTACAGACATCTGTGCTACAGTGAAGGAAGACATGCTTGCAGATATTGATGTTGCAGAAATCAAGATCAGTGAGTGGAAGAATCACATTGTGAGGGGCATGAATCAAGATCTAGCAAGGACACACCGCCTTCAAGAAATACAGCATGGAGATGTCCTTCTAATTATGGACTGGGCCATGAAGTTTTTACCCATTTCCTATCGTGAGAAACAAAGCGACTGGTATGGACAAAAAGGGGTGAATTGGCATGTTTCAGTCTGTATATACAAGGATGAAGCACTGAATTTAAAGGTGAGACTTAGTTCATTACATATTCTTCACTGTTTTTATCTTCAAATCATTATGCAAAAATTGGCGTTACAAGAGATACATGGGTCAATAAATTGCTAAATTTACTTTGACCCGAATAGCTATATATACATGTATAGCCTAAATACTCTTCACAATTTTTTCTCTCTCTAAATATGTGTATAATTTCTTTGTTAAAATTTGAATCTTTGGTTTAAGTGAGCTTAAACTGTTCTTTAGTTTTGACTATGAAATTTAATTTCAGCTTGATTAAGGAATTGCTATTTCAAAATTTAAAAGAATACTATATATAAGACAACATTTTAAAACAAATTTTTTGTTAACCAAATTTTAGCACAGGACATTTGCTCACATGATGGATGGAGTTCGACAGGATTGGATGACAGTTGCATGCCTGTTGGAGCATACCTTGTCAGAAATAAAGAAACAGTTGCCTACCATAAGTAGAGCATATATTCGCAGTGACAATGCAGGTTGTTACCATTGTGGGAATTTGTGGCTAGCCATTCCAGGAATAAGTGAACGAACAGGTATTTAAACATGTATATGTATTAACACATACACACAAAGGGTATTCCATGCAAGTTATTTATGTTTAACTAACATGGGTTTCACTAAATCAAATATGTTCTGAATGCAATCATATCTGCTGTGACATTTTTTTCTGGTTTTCTTTATTTTTAGCAAGCTATTTTAAATACTCATTCCAACTGTTTCAGCTGTGTCCATTGCACGATATGACTACAGTGAAGCCCAGAATGGCAAATCTTACTGTGACGCTAAAATTGCCCATATGAGGAGTAAATTCAGAAAAGTTGCAGCTTCAGGATATGACATCACTACAGCAGCTGACATGAAGAGGGCCATTGATATGTTTGGGGGTACAACAGGGTGTCAAGCTGCACATGTTGAGATTTCTTCTGGGATCACAACAAGCAAATGCCCTATCAAGGGGATCACCAAAATTTCAAATGTGCAGTTTGAAGGCAACTCACTGCAAATCTGGAGAGCTTTCAGAGTTGGCAAGGGCAATGTTTTGGCCATACCTCATGAAAACAGTGTAAGCTTTATAGTAAATGCTCAAGAAGTTCTATGACTGAAATGTTTAAATTAATGTCTCTATCTTAAAACTTTGATAGATTTCTTAGTGTGACCATTCCAAAAATAATATTCTATTAGCTAACAATTTATATCTTAGTTTAACATTATACACGTACTACCTTAGTTTATCACTATTGTTTTATCTCAGTAGACTACAAAAACATAAATCTTCTTTAATTTAGTGTTTTAATTTGCAGTCATTCTGCCATGTCTATAATTCAAAAACAAATATTACAGGAGCTTTCCACCATAAAAGAAAAGGCAGGCTTCACAACTATAAGTCCTGAAGGAAATATCAGAGAACCAAAGCTTGAGGAATGCTGCTCTGAAGAAAGAAAATTTCCCTGTTCTGAAGGAGGATGTACAAAAGTATTTTCTTCATTCAACGATCTTCAAAATCACATATTGATTGGAAGCCATGACATTCTTTCACAGATGTCAACATACGATGATATCAAAGTTAGATGGAAGAATGTGTGTTCTGACCTCTCTGGAAAAATTATCAGTTATGCATGTAAAGAAGTAACTGAGGGAGAGTCAAAGTGCTGCATGGGATGGGCCTTGAAGAAGGAAAGAAAATCGGTCAGATATTCAGATGATATTAAGGACTATCTTCAGGAAATTTTCCATGCAGGGGAAAGCAGTGGAATGAAATTGCACCCATCCATCGTTGCACAGAACATGAGGGTAGCCTTAAACAAGGAAGGAAACAAGCGATTTAAACCACAGGAATATTTAGAGCTTGGACAAATTTCTTCATATTTTTCAAGACTAACTGCTGAGAGGAAAAAAAGGAAGAATGTTGAGATTAGTGAGGAGGAACTAGAATCTATCCTTCTGGACATCAGAAAAGTGGAAACCACAACAATTCTGGAGTCAGACACGTAGATATATGAATCATCTAATACAAAACATTATCACATCAAAATGTTTAAATTTTTTTGTGAATATGTAAATATTTTTTCATCTTTTTTGTAATATTTACTATGTGAGTGTTCTATCGGGGGCGGTAACTGGCCGCTCCATTTGTAAATATCCTTTTGTTCCATTTTTATATGTTATTTACTAAGTGAGTGTTCTATCGGGGGCGGTAACTGGCCGCTCCATATGTAAATATCCTTTTATTCTATTGTTATATGTTATTCACTATGTGAGTGTTCTATCGGGGGCGGTAACTGGCCGCTCCATATGTAAATATCCTTTTGTTCTATTGTTATATGTTATTTACTATGTGAATGTTCTATCGGGGGCGGTAACTGGCCGCTCCATATGTAAATATCCTTTTGTTCTATTGTTATATGTTATTTACTATGTGAGTGTTCTATCGGGGGCGGTAACTGGCCGCTCCATATGTAAATATCCTTTTGTTCCATTTTCATGTTAACTTTGTGAGTGTTCTATCGGGGGCGGTAACTGGCCGCTCCATATGTAAATATCCTTTTGTTCTATTGTTATATGTTATTTACTATGTGAGTGTTCTATCGGGGGCGGTAACTGGCCGCTCCATATGTAAATATCCTTTTGTTCTATTGTTATATGTTATTTACTATGTGAGTGTTCTATCGGGGGCGGTAACTGGCCACTCCATATGTAAATATCCTTTTGTTCCATTTTCATGTTAACTTTGTGAGTGTTCTATCGGGGGCGGTAACTGGCCACTCCATATGTAAATATCCTTTTGTTCTATTGTTATATGTTATTTACTATGTGAGTGTTCTATCGGGGGCGGTAACTGGCCGCTCCATATGTAAATATCCTTTCATTCTATTGTTATATGTTATTTACTATGTGAGTGTTCTATCGGGGCGGTAACTGGCCGCTCCATATGTAAATATCCTTTTGTTCCATTTTTATATGTTATTTACTATGTGAGTGTTCTATGGGGGCGGTAACTGGCCACTCCATATGTAAATATCCTTTTGTTCCATTTTTTTATGTTATTTACTATGTGAGTGTTCTATCGGGGGCGGTAACTGGCCGCTCCATATGTAAATATCCTTTTGTTCTATTGTTTTTTATGTTATTTACTATGTGAGTGTTCTATCGGGGGCGGTAACTGGCCGCTCCACATGTAAATAATCTTTTGTTCCATTTTTATATGTTATTTACTATGTGAGTGTTCTATCGGGGGTGGTAACTGGCCACTCCATATGTAAATATCCTTTTGTTCTATTGTTTTTTATGTTATTTACTATATGAGTGTTCTATCGGGGGCAGTAACTGGCCGCTCCATATGTAAATAATCTTTTGTTCCATTTTCATGATAACTATGTGAGTGTTCTATCGGGGGTGGTAACTGGCCGCTCCTTATGTAAATATCCTTTTGTTCCATTTTCATGTAAACTATGTGAGTGTTCTATCGGGGTTTACTGGCCGCTCCATATGTAAATATCCCTTTTTTCCATTTTTATATGTTATTTACTATGTGAGTGTTTTGGGGACAGTAACTGGCCGCTCCATATGTAAATATCCTATTGTTTCATTTTCATGTTAACTATGTGAGTGTCATATCGGGGGAGGTAACTGGCCGCTCCATATGTAAATATCATTTCGTTCCATTTTTATAAGTTATTTTCTATGTGAGTGTTCTATTTGGGACCCTACGTAACTGGCCGCTCCATATGTAAATAATCTTTTGTTCCATTTTCATGTTAACTATGTGAGTGTTCTATTGGGGGCGGTAACTGGCCGCTCCATATGTAAATATCCTTTTGTTCCATTTTTATATGTTATTTACTATGTGAGTGTTCTATTGGGGGCGTTAACTGGCCGCTCCATATGTAAGTATCCTTTCATTCTATTTTTATATGTTATTTACTATGTGAGTGTTCTATTG